TCAATGTATTTCGATGGCTTGTTGAAAATACGTTATTAAACAGCTACGTTTCCTTCGTACCATAAAAATCCTGTGAAGAATTTGAAGCGCATGGGAGCCTTCTCTCTCTTTCTCCCCTTTCTCTCTCGCTTCTTCCTCTCCTTTCGCTCTTTCTTTCTGTATCTCTTTCCTCTCCTTCTGTTCTTTCTCTCTTTCTTTCTCTCCTGCCTCTCTTTCTGTCTTTCTTTCTATCTGTGTCTCCTTCTGCTCTTTTTCTCTGTCTCTTCTTTCTCTCCTTTCTCTCTTTTCTTCTCTCTGTCTCTCCTTTCTCTCCTTCCTCTCTTTTTTCTCTCCTTCTCTCTGTCTCTTCCTTTCTCTCCTTCCGCTCTTTCTTCCTTTCTTTCTCTCGTGTCTCTCCCTTGTCTCTCACTGTCTCTCCCCCCTCTCTCTTTTGATATCATCGAGCAAAGGCAACAGCAATATCGGAGAGCATTGTGGAGCACTTTCGCGTGTATACATTATGCATATTGATTCTATCGATTGGCCGGTAGACTGTACGCAGCCTTGTCGAGCGTTTCAGTAACACTGTTCTAGCCTCTGCTCTCAGGAATACAGCTATTCCGAGACCTCCATTTACCAGACAATTTCCAGAAAATAACATCGTTCCAGAGTAACCAGTGAAGAGACATCGGAAGGGTTACTAGAAGGAGCCGGACGAAGTGTATCTTGCACATGGGACATACTTTACGATTACTTTCATGTTACGGCTGACTCCTTTATGATCCCAATATACCATCTACCACGTTTCATATTTCTTCCTATAAATTGGAAAAGTCTTATTACGTCCGAAATGCTTGTAAAATATCTCGGTACTTATGTTTTTACTAATTTACTATATTTATCCTTTTCTATCTACAGGATCGACACATGATTGTTTTCAAAGTGAAATAAAGAGGCATCACTTTCTACTATTGAATCTTTAATTGTATACTCTTACAACTCCTTTATTTCTACTTAAAAATTACATCTTTCCAGTAATCCTCGTCACATTGCAGTTACATCTAGCATATCCTGAGGGATGTTCTTTATATATTATTTGCGGTTATTCAATATATCTGATTTTGTTGTGTGTAAAACACCACAAAAAACAATCTGAAAGAAAAATAACAGAAAAATTGACATTTGCAATTGTTGAATAAAAATAAAAATAAAAATAAAAGGATCAAATTTTTTTACATTATTAATATTCCTTTCTTCATAAACTATTAATACACCATTAAAAATTCCATAGTACCAAAAACAATGCTTCTTTAGTCAATTTTAAACATCGTCAGACGTTTCAACTGAACCCCATATAATCGACAAGACAGCAAACGCCCTGAAATAGTAGCGATTCGAGCGATTAAAAGCACGCCTCTCATAGTATGACGTTTTACGATTCTTCGAACGCCGTCTACAAACTCCTTATAGTCTATAAAGTATGTTATAACTTAACCGTTAATACCTCCACAACATTGCAACACTCTCGTGTCGGACGTGTTCGAGACAAGTAGAAAAATTCAATGATACATACTTAAACTAACGCGAGCATACATATGTATATATATATGTCTCTCGATATTAAGCATTAAAGTTAGGATCCGCGTTCCATTTTCAGTTATTATAAAACGTTCGTTGCGTGTATTCTTGCACGGCGACCGGAGACACTAACTATCGTAAACGGCCATAAAATAGGATACGAAGATAATCTTTCCATCGAGGTATCCGGCACGGTCAGTTTGCAGCCGTTTCGAGATAACGTTTCTTTCCAAATCGACTCGATTCTGCTATCTTACTACATACTTCTACATGGATCCAACAGACTCGTATTTTTCTTCGAGTTCACAAGACGATTAACGAGCTAAGTAATTATCTTAAAAGGCTCCTTCGTGGGAGTAATCGAAGGACCGATTATCGTATACCACCTATAGCGAGGTCCGCTTTTCTCAATAGCACGCACACGATTAAAGTAAATGGACGGAACCGAGTGGAGTAAATAGAGGCGAGAAACGCGTATAAAACTAAGGAACACGCTAAATATAGAGGTTCTTATTTTGACGATGATTAAAACCATCGATAAACGAACCGATGGCGAATTATACGATTGCTACATTTTCCACGACTCCGAACGTATGAAATACGATGGAAAATTACGTGTTCGTAGACGTTGGTCAAACACACGGTTGATCAATAAACTGTCACAAACGTGACGTTTTATTTGCCACATTTATTATCCACGAACTGGGAATAATTGTGACAGCAGTGGTGAACTTGTGCATTTTCAACGAAGATTTAATATAGCGGTTGACGTTATGAATTATTTGACATTTTAGAAGATGAAACCGTTTATCTTTTTGTCAGGATGAGTTTCCTCTCTATGTTACCAAGAGGGTCTGGGTTCACGTCAAAGATGGCGTTTCGCTCCATGCTATGTGAAAAAGAGACGTCGATGGCACAGTTCTCTGTTTTGCCTCTCTTTTGCTTGAATATTCATCGGTGAATTTTTGTGACAGCTTCTTATGTCACGTTAAGGGAATGAAGTTGTATCGTCGTACAAGACGATTATAGACACGTGATTCCCGATGAAATTGCGTCGAACAACGAGCAAGAAGGGAAACTGCGTCTAAATATGGTCTTATGGTGCCTAGTTTCTCTGAACTTTATGTCATGACTGCATCGCGTAGTAATGCAATAGGCGACAATGCACACGACTGCTGTGGTAATTTAGCTTTGTGTTGGCCTTCCATCGTTCCTTTAAGAGTAGCTGGAATATTGTTAAGAATTCATACGCAGTATTACTATCAAGTCGGATCTCACATTGTCCAGTGTTTTTTTTCGCGAATTGTTTTACGATCGCTTTAAACAATTTTCCTCCTTTTCGAAAGATTGAAACCACGTCGTAAGGGAAATATCGTGAATTAACGTGTAAAAAATAAATTCAAAGAAACACCCTAACGTTGCATACCAAATTATACACAACGTCGTCGTTGATTCTTACCGCGCGTTTTATTCCATAGAGAGAACAACAAAAATGAAAACGATCGAAGATGTTTTAACGGATGCTCAACGGCGATGTGGTGATAATGAGGATCCATTCTCGCGTGCAGTTAACTGTATGCGATTATCCGGTGGTAATGTACGGTTGTCGTTAGTAAGATTAGCCGTTTTCTTTCCGAGGGATTTGTTAGGACAGCAAGGGGACGATTTTATGATACGTGATTTCTAGTTCAGCAAACCGTTATTTTTAATTTAGCAGACCGGTCTGCAGCCAACATGCGGCACGTAGAATTTCTCAAATATTAAAGAATAGGCTATTGTTCAGTCAGTAAGGCAAGGTATCATAAAGTCACCCCCAAAGGGTCTTCGAAACCGATGCATTTACCGAGGCCTCTCGGTACCTGACCTTCTGAACGAGTCGGAGAGTCAGAGTTGACCTGGCCGGGTTTTTCCTCCTTGTTGTCAAATTTCCATCCAGCAAGGACCAGCTTCGTCATCCCCGCTCCAAGAACGTGACGCGCTCCGGGCGCAATGGAAAGGGGTGATCACTTAGTAATTTTAAGAACCTCCCTTCGCGTCCCTTCTTCAAATTTTAGAAGATTTGGAGAAGGGACGACTCGATAAGAAGGCCGACTTAGCTTAAGACCACAGAGTGTTAGTACACAGACCAGCAGTTACATCAGGAATCCAAAGGATTCCGTCAGACTCTCAACGCAATACATTCAATCTTCAGACGGCACCTAGTGCAATATTCGAAGTACGCGGAAATTAGTACCCGAGTGCTTAACAGGATTTCTTCAGCTGATCGTCGAATGTTAGAATTATGTAATCGGTTACTGCAAATTGATTAGTTTGAAAATAAACAAAACTTTGCATTATAAAAATTGCATCTTTATTTTCGTGTTACTACATAGAACGTTTAATAAAATGTGTATGTAACTGTTTGCATGCTCTGTACTCCAAATGATTTACATTAAATAATAGTCCATACTTGAAAGAAAGAGGTTTTAAAATTAATTACACAACTGTAAGGGAAAATTTTAATGAAAGATGTACAAAATGATCACAGTGAAACACACGAAATGTATTTTAATATTGTAAAGATCGCTTTGTTTGGATATCGTCCAATATTGTTCTCAGTTCTTCGTCCTCTAATCGTCCCTCTAAACTGGGAATTAAGGCTTTCGCTTCTTCCGGAGTTTCCGGACAAAGGTTCGCTAGCGATGCTAGCTCAAACTTATGAAGCTTCTTCTGCATAAGCAAACTAAAACAGACAGTTTAATGAGTTTCTGTGAATACCATTACGCTTGAAGTTATAATTTGCGTGTGCAAACTTTTTACAATATGAAGCGCGCTTACTTTCTTACAGCCGCGATGGTTTCTTTGTTTTTAAAACGACGAAATCTGTTTGTGTACGTTAAACTCTTCATGAAAACTTCGGAAAATTCTTGTTCTTCCTCCGCAGATTCATTCTGTGCTTTCCTGTGCTCCAGTAGCATCGACACTTCCGAGATTAATAGTGTCTCTGCATTTTCGAATTCTAAGAAAAAAAAAACGATACACATGGTGTTTATTATAAATTCGGTATCGTCTGTGTAATTAACGATACTTTATTAAATTAGTGCAATTAAAATCAAGGTACATTTTGTTGTTATTAAACATCACATTTTTAAAATTTTAGACAAGTTTTATTAATATACCTTATGAAATACATTTTATTATATTATTTACGACCGTACAAAGCATAAACAAAATATTAAATATATATTTACACACATTTTATATATTAATATACACATCGTTCTATTATTAATTATACTATTCTTTGTATATCATTAACTATACTCACTTTATTATACTCAGTCGATTTTTTTAAACTCTTACTTTAAGTTCTGAATAATAAATCTTAATTTCTAGTATCACAATTTTGGCAGAACCCACGAAAACATAATATACATAATTCTGATGTATTAATGAAACGTGTGTCATTGACTCGGTTTGTTTATGTACCCTTTTTCTGTAAGGAAATCGTATATTTTGCGTGTTTTGTTTACATCGATCTTAAGCAGAACCCTAGCTTGTGCCAACCTAAGACTACCACTTTTTTTATTCTCTGCTATTAAAAGTTGTTTAAAGTCAAGGTAATTGTTGGGTACTATACGCGTAACAGAACAAAGCTCTTTTTCCGCCGAATTTAACTTTTCGTATCCTGGAAGACCTTTAATTGCAAGTGGCGGTGCCGCTTTCCGCTGTGACATTGTATTCGATACGGAATTGTTAAAATTAACACTGTAGCCAGGTAATATAGTCTTCCAACTATATTCCGGATTATTTAAATACTGCTTCCTTTCCTTGTCATTTTCTTGCCTAAGTTTGCTCAATTTTTGGAACATTGGAACGCTATGGAAATGTTTTAAGCCGTTACTGCGGAATTCGTAAAGTTTCCGGAGATAATTTTTAAGTTCTCCTGCTCTATGTAAGCCTTCCATAAAATAATCAAATTCTATACCACTTAATAATTGCATAAAAATTAATAATCTTTCAGCAAGTGTTCTAGTAATTGTACATTCATATCTTTGTATCCAAGATATGGTTCTTCTAAATGCTATCAGTCCATGGTTACGTATGATTTTTCTTCTTCTCATACGTTCTTTCAGTCTATTATTGTATGCTTGTACTATTGCTATTTGCAACTCTTTTCCTAATTCATAATTATCATCAATTATATCAAATTCATCATAGTTTAATTCAGAGATTAACAGTTCTGCATGATTATCAAAATTCACTTCAAAATCTGACCTCGCTGGGTTGTACCCAGCCAAGAGCTTACAATTAAGTGTATTGGATGCAAAGCGTGGAGGCTCTTCCAAATCCTGCAATTTATACAAGTAAGGAATGGGTTCACAACTGAATAGACTTGCTTTTGTTTCTTCAATTTTTGGCAATCCTGGTAGGGTCTGATTATCAATGTAATGTTGAAGATAATGATTTTTACATTCTTCGGCTAATTTCCCTTGCATTCTTTTGGCCATGTCAACCCAATTACTAAAACCACATTCTTGCAAAACATCTAAGAACTCTAATTCTTGTTTTGCTGTCCAACCACTTCCATTGATCAAGGGAAACTCATTCTTTATGATGATATAGTCATGATCATTTCTGTGATTGCCTATTTCTGATCCATTGGAGAAACAAGGAGGGCACAATTCCATATTATTACACACAGCACAACGAATATACGGCTCCGTCAAAGCAGTTTTGCATATGTGGCATGTTGGGTCTGAAGTAATGATTTCATCCTTCACGACTGACACGTCGAGTTCTACGTCATGCTCGATCTTTTCTGTTCTACTCGATGAGCAGTCTGAAAGAGGATAATCGTTACCTTAGGCCATGCTGCACAATCAGACATTGATTCTCGACGTGTTATGTCGTTGAACGTAAATTGTTACCAAAAAGGACGTTGACAAATGTCACACGGTTATAGGTTAGATGCAGATAACTATTCCCTGCTTTTCTTCCTGTTTAATCCAAGAAGGAAACGTACCTTTTGGAAACTGAAGATCAGCCGCATCCTCTTCTGTCATATCAGTTAAATTCGGATTAGCCATGTTTTTTTATATTTTCCCGCAGTGTTCCACAAAAATCTAAACTCTCTTCGTAAATGTTTACTAGTAACGAGCGACCATGCTTGCGGCAATTAGTATACATTTACTATATCCCAATTCTGCTAGATGGCGGTTGCGTTGCTGCGTACTGGTTCGGTAACTACTTCAATTCTTTGCAACTTACAATTAATGCCGCTATTTGAAAAGTGATTAGAGTACAAATCGTCTTGCGCAATACTCAAAAGACGATTTAATTCTTGCAATATTTAATATTTTTACAATAGTGCATAATTTATCTATAGGAAATAGTTTGTCAAATTAATTATTATACAAAATTAGCAACAATATTGAAAGTGTACCACTTCGTCAGTGCATCTGCGTTTCAGAAGAAACTACCAGACGGTGGCGTTAAATTGTCTTGTAAGTACATTAAGTATGTCATTTAAGGATTTATCGAACCTTGAAAACCACGGTAGAGTTACGAACATAGCCTGAATATGTAAAATCGTGAAGGTTGTTGTAAGTAAAACGGTATGCCTTCGGAATACGGAATCGAATAATTTGACATCGAAATGATTAACTTGTATGCTAGTGTATTTCAAATCAGGCAGATAAATACGTATATGTATTAGTGACGCAAATATAATATTCTCGAACTGAGGCAATATAACAAACCACGAAACCAAATATTCTTTTTGCTAGTGTAACCTAATACGTATCCCATTGTACAAAACGACAAGTTTCCCGCGCAAATTTTATTTACGTAATTATGGTTCACGTAACTGAGATTTCACGGAATAAATTATGAGTAAATTTATCTTTTTTACAAAAGAATACAGGTAACTCGTTACTTTTCAATGAATTAATTAATGTTACTGGACTATGTATAAATATGTAGCTATTTTCTTCATTATTTTACCTAACTAAGACAAATACTTTCTTTTCGAATCTAACCTAATTTTTATTTAATGACTGAAATATTTAATGTACTTAACTAATACATAAAAATAGTAGGAAAAGCAAAAATAAAGAACATTAGCTAAAATTACAAAAACTTCATATTTTTCGACAAAATATTGTACAACGAAATAACAATGAATAATGGGTAAATCATCCTTTGTAAATCATAATACGCCATTACAATAAACACGCAACCTAAGCGTGTCCATGGCAACAACAAATTAACAATATAACATGAGAAAAATATTAGACGAAAGAAGCCGGGTGTGCAACACGTTCGCCTACGTTATCTTTTACGAAACAAATGGTGCGTGTACATATATACATATACGTAACATAACACATTTTTAAAAGGTATTTGCACGTTAAACTCTCCGCTGAGCCGTGCAGTTTGCAAAAGACGTTCAAGAATAATAATAAAACCACTATGCAAATAACTCCGTGAAAGCGGTGTACGATAATTCTCGATACTTTGACTCAACCACTTTTCCATTTGTGAAAGTATACATACTTTCTGTGTATTGTATTTATCTTATCTTAATAATAGAGGTTGTAATGACTGGTTTCTATTGTAATTATTCGTCGAACCTAACCTAACCATATCGCTGATAATAATTAAGAGAAATGTAGAAGAGAAAAATGTTCCTGTTTATAAAAATGTAAATATAACACACGTCTATTTTGTTTGCAGAGTTTATTAGAAGGTGCAAAATGGTCTGTTCAAATCGAGAAATTTGGCTGTCCCGAAAGTGATAGATTTCAGACGTTTCAGGCAGTTCACGGTAATTTTTTTTATTCATTATCAACACTGTTCCAAAGAATTAAAGATTTAAGAAGTTTATCGTGCGTGTTAAAAGTCTTTTGAAACTTCTAATACAGTCTGGAATATTAAGTGCACAAATATGTATATACAAGTTGTTGCATAAAACATGGGCATAACTTTAGTGATGTTTTCACCATACAAAAATAAGAAAGACAGTTCATATAAACATGCATACATACAGTCCGGCATGACCTTGTGTCCGAGTTACAGCCGTTAAAACTGTAGTATACAAAATAGGAATCATATTGAACGTGTTATGTAACTTTATCCACTGATAGCTACAGTAAAAAATGTAGTGTTATGTCTCCAAAGTATTTTCTTCATTTTTGAGTGAGGTTGAACATTATGTGTCATAGGTCGTTGAACTCGTCTCGACAGCCTCTTTCGTATAATATAACAAAAATTATAGCTATAATTTTAAAAAAATTCGTGATATTGTCGTTACGTGAAAACCATTACAAATTTTAATTATCTACTCAAAATTGACAAGAAAATCGCTGGGAATTAATAACGTGAACACATTTATAAATATATATAATCTTTTTACCGTATAATTTTTACTTATAATCTTTTTACATATAATTTTCACAGAATAAAGTAGAAAATCATTATCGTCTGGCAATTGAAGTAACGATTATTGAAAAGAGACGTAACCTTGACCTTCGTCCTTTCCGCAAATAATTTCATTCGGGACAATAACTCGTTGGTAGTCCTTATAATATGCTGAAAAATTCATATCGCGCGTTTACTGCGACCCGTCAGACGTGAAAACCGGTATCGTTAAATATTTTACGAGTCAACCAACTACATTGGATTAGAAAAATGATCGCTTCGTGAAGTACATATCTCGTTCCTTTCATCCCGGGAAAAATTATTCAACGTTATAACGGAGCCTGGAAAATTTTCGTTACATCCACAAATATAATTGGTGGACACGTGTTCTGTGTTTGAATGTGACATTGAAAAATGCAAAACTATAAAAGTCAACGTCACCATTACCGGTCGCTTGTTCGTCTTGTTTCACGTGTGCCCAGATACACCGGGCGTAGTCATCGTTTTTCTGAATTTCTAATTATGGGCGACCGTAAACTGATTTATCGAATGTCTCGCCACGGTAGATATTGAAATTGATTCATTCTGGAGGCACGTCGTTTTGCACACGTGCTGATGATTAACTTTTTGCAAAACAAGAAATGGAAACGCACGGCGGAAAAATTCATCTCGTCACACACATACATATATCGAACGTATCGTTTCTTCGATATTTATTATTATTACCAATTCCATAAACATTATATTTTATTAGGTGTGTAAATTAATTCGACCTCTTTAGATTTATTACTTTCTAATAATTATTTTAAATTCAAATATTTTCCCGCTTTTTGGTAGTTTTAAAAACAACGCCATCTGTGTTTGTTAAAAATTAGTTGTGTTCACTGAAGCAGCTGGAATGAATTGTTCGCTTTTCGGTGAAATCACTGTATCTCAAAACACGTAAAAAATGGTATCAGCGATTTCGAGAAGGAAACTTCGATTTGCGTGACAGTCGGTTGAACAAGCTTGAGGAGATTGAGTTGCAACAGAGACACTTTAAAATGATCCAAGAAGGGAAGCCTAACATATTTTTCGCGATGTTAATCAAAAGATGGTCCAAAGTTACACAAAATAACATACACAATTTCAGTTGAAAAGTTTGAATTGTTTTTTAAAACTTTTAAAACTTTCACGGCCCGTTTCAATGTTTTGTTTTAATTTATTTATTTTCAGTCGCGTCAACCACTAAAGTTAGGTTATTAGCGACTCAGACTACAAAACGAAATTTACAATTGTTAGAGAAGACTTGTACAGTAAATTCTCTACAAGAGTCAGTAAGTTTGGATTCTACAAGTGACAGTATAGATGGTCCTACCCCTAGGCTGCGTCATTGCTGCGCCCATGTTATCTCGCTCGCAGTCAGTCAAACGTGTAACGCTACACCAGTCGGTTTCTTTTATGAGATTTCACGGCTCGACAATTCATAATAGAAAAATATAATTTCTTTAATTTTACTTTTCATCATCTGAAATTTTTCCTAACATATTGATGAGATTTTTCTGATGAAAATGAACACCATTTACTTATTAACACGTTCACTGTCACGTCAGATTTACAGGTTGCTATCAGGCGGCCACAAGAAAATACATTTTAAGCATAGGATTATAGTATTATGCTTTATAATTTTTTTTTTCAATTGAAAATAATGTCTAGCTAGCTATGACGTTCAAAATTTTTAGTTGACAACATTAATTTTATTTGAATTATTCTAAACATTTGAGGCACTCCAGTCACTGATGACCACCATGGCCATATCGAGGAAACAATCTAACGTTAAAACTTATTGAGTGATTAATTTAATTTCATAATATATCGCTTTGGATGAATTACAAAAACAAATTGCTAAAAAATTACATTAAATACCTGTACACATTATCCGTCGAATGTAGAGGGAGAGCCACCGTTTGGTTGCCAATTGTTTATCACATAGAGTCGGACTACCTCCACGTAAAAAAAAAAAAAGATGTAGGGTCGATTCCACAACTGTCAGTAAAATGTAGGGTCGATTGCGAAAAAAAAAAGAAGATGTAGGGTCGATTCCACAAGTGTCAGTAAAATGTAGGGTCGATAGCAGCAGAAAAGCTGCTAAACAATTAGAATTAAATGTAACGATAGAAATTATTGCAACAATGCGTAATGCAATTGAAAAATTGAAAGAATCAAAAGAAAAAACGCGAATTCGTATCTTTTTCGATTCTAGAATATAAGAAAATTTGAATAAAATACGCGACGAGAATTGGGGAGAAGCATAAGTTAAACGCGTAAAAATATTCAATAATAAACGAACTAGGGATGAAGCTATTATTTCAATACGCGATGCACTGACTCTAGTATTTACTAAAATTCAAAAATTCTCGTATAAATCCCGAAAATAGATTCTTAATTACGGTAAACTACTGAGACGGTTTAATTAAGGGTGGGCATGGTGCTGCTTTAGTTTGAAATGATTTATAAACACATAATTAACAGAGGAAAAACCGTGAAACGGCAAAACGTCTACATTCTAATTGTTATAACATGTAAACAGAACTTTAAATTTAGTGTAAACAGAAAAAATATATAATACAATTTATTTCACGGTATTGCAACAAATAAACGTTGAATCAATATTTAATTCGTATAAAAACAATTATTTAACGTAATAATTTTACCTTCACTATGGCTATTTTTAATCTACGACCACA